GCGGGGCAGGTCGAAGGCCAACCACGAAAGACGATTCTTGGTCTTACCATCTTCCGGTTCTGGGTGGCCGTCGCGCTGGGCGTCACTATCGTCGGCGTCGCCATCGCCGTCGGTTTGGCGCTGGGGTTGGCTAACCGGTACGTTTGAAACCGAAGAAAACGGGAAATTATTCTACTCTTCTCTCCTTTCTCCAAACTCTACCTCCCCGTCCTGTCTCCCGCCCCTCCCGCTCGAAGACCGCTTCCGCGCCCTGTACGTCTCTCTATATCTATCCTCAGCCAGCAGCCCTGGCTGACGCGAAACGATTTTGCCTCCGTAGGCCCGAAGACACGCCCTCGGCATCGAGCAACAGCACACCGACGGCAGTGATACAGGAACTCGGCGTGCCCTCCGCGGCCCCGATCAACCCGTACTGCGAGACCTCTTCACCTCCCAAGAACACGACGGTGACGCCGTACGACGCCTCCGGCTCGCCGATCCGCTTCAACAACGACCAAGCAATGTCGTTTGACGTGCTCTGCAACACCTTCTGGCCGCAGCGCCAGGGCCTGAATCCTGAGCTGCGCGACATCCTCGTCATGACCGTCCCGGACATGTTAACCTGCATGACGCTCTGCGCGCAGTACAACCAGGGGTACAGCGACGCCGTCGGCGACGATGTGTACGTCGGAGGCGGCATCTGCGTAGGCGTCGCGCTGGTCAAGGGCATCGGGCAGTTCTGCTACCTGAAGAACGCGACGGGTATCAACGACACCACGGCCGCGGGCGGGTTCGACGTCGACTCGGCCGTGCTCACGGGGAATTGGGCGAACTTGACCTCCAACGAGCAGACGCTTGCTTTTGGAGGCAACTTGCCGGAGGTTGTGGCGAATACGACGACTGCGATTTAGTACAGCGGTCTGGATTGTAATGTGTATACGGGAGTTACGGGCGTCATCCCCCGGTGTCTGGGACTTTGAATCTTTGAGCGTGGATATGATATGGATGAGCGTTGTTGTGCTGGAGCGTTTGCGATGCGAATGAAGCCTTGAGTGGTTCTATTGGAGGTCGTGAAGAACGAAGGCTAAGGATGCTCTGCCAGCACTTTGAAGCTGTCAGTCTGGTCCAAGGCCATGCGATAGGGGTCCGAGATGCAGCATGTCCGTTCTTTCTGGAACATAGCAGCGCATCCGGAGTTGGTGATATACATATACGTAAGAGACATACGCAGCAGTGTGCGCAGCCGCGTGAGCAGCTGCCGGGACATATTTAACGGCCACGGATCGAATATAAGATGAAATCTGTCCATATCGATTGCTATACGTTACAACGGTTGTGATTTCTACCCACAGCACCTGAAGGTGGATTCATGACATCCGCTTGCTCCCTCATCTGCGTCGTCCATCCTTGGTATACTACCCACCTCCCAAACTGTCCCCGAGGAGATGATGACACAAAACATCTGAGACAAGAACAAAGAGAAATGCTAATGAGAAACAACATGTCTAAATCGGAGGTCTCTTCCATTTTCTACCTCCGCTATCCGTACAGTATTCACCAAGACGTCCCCAACCACACATGTAATCTGCCTGGCCGCCTCAAAGCCCAACATCTAGTTGTCGCGCCACTCCTGGCCGTTCTGGATACCGCTCGGCGCGCCATTGACACGTCCGTTGCTCCCGGACGCCTTGTTTGAGTCTGAGTCAGATTCGTCGTCATCCAGGACCCGGGCAAGCTCATCGGGATCCTGCATCTTGGCATCAGGGTCGATGACGCCCTCCTCGAGCTCCTCGTCGCGGCGGCGGTTATCCCTATCGGTGTCGAGGACACCCTCGTCCGCGCTGACAGAGATGCCGCGGGCGCCCCACTTGGGCCGTCCGCCACGACGGGAATCATCGTTGCCACCGCCGAGGGCCGGAGCGCTCTCCTCGTCGTCGGAGTGCATGTCGACGCGCTTGCCAAAGATGCGGTTGAGGAGCCAGCTGCGGCGCATGTCGTCGGCGTCGACGATGCCGCCGTTGCGGAGCTTGACGCGCTGGCGGGTGTAGTAGACCCAGGCGAAGTCGACGTAGAGGGCGGTCTGGACAATGCCGAAGATGACGGAGACGGGGTTCGGGGCCTTGTCGTTGATGTCAAGCTCGCGAGTGATCCAGCCGACGAGGTAGAGGCCGCGGTAGGAGCCGAGAGTGACGAGGTAGAAGGAGTCGATGACGGTGGGGACGGTGGTCTGGCGCAGGAGCAGGAGCTGAGGGAGCACGCAGACGGATTCAAGGATCTGAGAGAAGTCCCAGAGCCACTTGAGGAGAATTGTGTCAGCTGATATCTGGATGGGGGGTGGGAGATTGTGTGTTTACATACCACTCGGAAGCTCCAGTAGCTCTCCAGGATAAGCATAGCAAAGGGCGAGACCAGGAGCGCGCCGCCAAGGGCACCAGCGCCGACCTTCCAAGAGATCTCGCGCTCTCTGGATCGTGGGTAGACCCACTGCATGATGCCGATAATGTAAAAGGAAGATGTTATGTAGAATATTTTGAATATAAAGTTCCATGCTGATTGCTCGGAAAATATGTCGAGATATCGCGTGCAGAAGACGAGAGCGTATAGCCCTTGCGTGATGAGGGAGACACCTGAGGAGCGGGGCTTGTTAGCACTTGGGGAATCTCCGTGAAGTTTGCTCAGTAGACACACCCTCAGCACTCCTATTGCGATGTATCGCAAGCATCAAGATGCATTTTGAAAGGAGATGGGAGACATCTCCCAGTAGTCGGAACACCTGCCCACCCAGTCAGCGCGAATGTCCCCGAACGGCAGCTGCCCCTCCGTCGATCGGTCGACTACTCACGTTCCACGCAGTCATGTTATCGCTAGATGGGAAGTCGAGCTTCCACTAGGGTATTCGGGGTCTATCGAGGCGGGCGGCGATGGGAATCTTCGGATGCAGCGGTTGCGACACACAAACAAACAGACGGGACGGGAGGGAAAAGGCGCCGGTTCCGTTTCACATCACACGGGACGGACGGCCGTTGAGCAGGAGGTGGGTGAGCCGTTGGAACAAAACGGCTGCCGCTGCTGCTTTGAGTCGTTTGCAAGCTAAGCTGGCGAGAGAATCGAGGGAATATAGCTATGTGTGTTGGAGCGTAGGTAGATTGGTCGTAGTGGGATGGAAGCGGAGGGGAGAAAGCTGAAAGATGGCAGCAAGCAGTAAGGTTCCCTTTGCAGCTGGCGGAGGTGCAGGAGCAATGCGCCGAGTCGCCTTTCAAACCCCCCAAAGGCAGGTCGCAGAGCTCCAGCTGGCCTTATCAGCTCGAGCCTGAGCCTTATCCGTGCTGGGGAAAGAGGGTGACGACAGCCTGGGCCCCCAGCCACGTTGTACCACCTGCCAGCGTTGTGATTGGGCCGATTCTGCAGGGTCGCTTATGCCGGGTGCCCCCCAGTTGGGGTCGACAGCGCTAGAGCGACGCAGGCCGGCGGGTGACAGCGAAGCGGAAGCTGCGATTTTTGACTTTGATGAAGCTTCGGATGTTCTTGATATGCCTTGACAACTTTATTCTACGGAGGCGAAAGTGTTATTTCATTGTTTTCTTCTGTCATTGAATGTTGTTGTTGAGCGCATTGCTGTCCTAGTGACAACGTCTCTAATGTTCCCATCCTTTTTTAGACCATCTCCGCGTGGGTACCTCCCACTGTGGATTCGCTGCGTGGATTGCAAAGACCATGCCATTTTGAGGAATGCGAGCTCAGAGGCGGCAGAAGAATGCCATTCTTCGATTTGAGCATCCGGGTAGCCTAGCACATCGAGCAGATAAGGTAGTCGACAAAGGTCTTGGATGTTTGAATGCTCAAAAGCGTCAGGCACAAAACCAGCTGTGCCATCCTTAGCTTCAGTGCAACAACAAGTGAGTATCGTCTCAATCTCGTACGTGCCCCTCCAAAAGTGTTTCTTTCGCAGGGTCAATAAAACACGACGCGCGGCTGGCCTACCTGGGATATATGCATCACAACATGTATCGTCATCCACCGGCGTTGCCCGCGTGGCACGTCAACAGGTAGCAGCAGCAGTACGACTTTCTATGAAAAGTTGCCCGCTGGATCTTAGCAGTCTCACTTGTTAAGCATCGAAGAATCTCCACCGAATTGCAAGATGCCGCCTTCAACGGTACAGCAATGCGCTGGCATGATTGAGGCTACGACATTGAAGGTTCGCTGAAGATCGGACGAGTGCTTGCAGCTACAGAATTGGAGATCGCCGTTACCGCGGGCGTGGTACGCCTACATAGCGGCATCTAGCATGATTGGAGTTGTATTGCAGAGTTGTCATCGACGGCTCGGCGCTTCTGGTGGGTCCCGGCCGCTTCGCCGGTCGACCTGCGCTAACAAGAGTCCGTCTTGTCCTTCCCGCCTTCCCCCGGGGCCGGACCGATCTTGGCGACTAGCGGTAGCAATGAAGATTTGTGAGTTGAAGAGTGCAAGATGAGAATTCTGGTAACGCTTCGATAACTCAGCGAGCTTCCTATACTGAGATATCCATAATCGCGGTAGACATACTTGTTGTAGCAGCTACATCCTGCATATGCACTCACTTTGGTACAACCAAAGCAAGGGTCAACTCCAGGGCCTCCAGGATGGGCTCGGGGTGAAGCATTTGATTCCTACGAGAGTAAAGAAAAAGAAGACCGTTAGTGTCGCAGGATAGAGCTGATTCTGTAGCGAAGGCCCCAAGAAGTTTGCCTTAGACATGTTAATACCTTCAAACAAGAAATCGCTATATTTCAAGAGGAATTGCTTTTCTTCGGCTATTACGTTGCAATACTTTACTGAATTAATGCCTTTGATCAATTTTATTCCTGGCGATTTGGTCACTTTTGGTTTGCATATTGCTGTATGTAATGCGTAGCCCAGGAAAACTAGCTCTGGTCTCACAACGTCCCGTCCTTCTCTTTTTTTCCATTTCTTTTTCGTCCAATACTTTGACAACATAACCATCTCGCTCTACCTCTCTATATCATAGCACCATCGTCAACATGGCCACCACCCACAGACGTCTGGACTCTGCCGCCGAATTCGTCATTAGCTGCGGCACTGCAACCATTGATGTCGAGAAAAAGAAAGTTCTCGTCATCCGTTGCCGCAACTCGGACGAACACTTGCTGCCCAAGGGTCGTAAAGACCTCAATGAAACCCTAGAGGACGCGGCCAAGCGGGAGACCTACGAGGAGACTGGCGTAAGAGTGAGTCTTCTGCCAGTCAACGTACCGACGCGGGCTACGACCCCATCCTCAATAGCCCCCAACAACCGGCCGACCCTTGTCACCGAGCCCATCGCCGTTGCTCAGCGCGTCTCAGACGGAGTTCTCAAGATCATCTTCTGGTTCGTCGCGGCCGCCGACTCCACCATTCCACCGGAGGAGGGAACGCAGCAGGAGGATGAAGATTTCGAGGTTAGCTGGGTGGATGTGGAGGAAGTCGGTGACCGTCTTTCCTTTGCTGATGATCAGCGCATCGCCAGAGAGGCCTGTGTTGCGGTTTTTGGACCTGGATGAGTGGATTAGAGCAGAGACGCTGGGATGGACGGAGCAGGTGAATTAAGCATAGGATCAAGAGGACATCAACATCAAATGGAGATGAAGCTTGCTATTGTCTGCAAGCCGACACTGTTTTGTGTGAATGTGGCCTTGATTCCATCGATGTGCTCGAGTTCTCGTCAATCGGCCCCCCGATGATTCGCATCCTCACACCCTTGCCGACTCCGGAAACCACGACACCATCCCATCGGAAGACGGCCGAGTTCAAACCTTGAATGGCCCGAACTTCGTCTCACACCGGCCGAGAAACCGGAGCGAGCATAATACCGTCCCTCTGGAGCCTCAAACCGTCAAATTAGCACGGCAACACCGCCGCACGCAGCCACAGGCTCACAGCAAAAACCACGGCGGAAGAGTCGTCAGCATCGGGATGTGGGCGGGCCAACCCACTACAGCCGTCAATCTCACCCCAAAAAAAAGCAAGGGAAATATCCGCATCTACTATGTAAGGTGGTGGTCGTCCTCCCGCACTAAACATATCGCGGGCGGTCCCTTGTCGGGGGACGGGCAGACAGAAAGCAGAAAGCGGGACTGACGGCAGTGCTAAAATGCTCTTAGCAGCGCGGGATAATGACGCGGCCCAGCCGACGACGACGACGACGCCAATTCCAATGTTCCAGGCGGGGGGGACCACGGCACAACCCGCCCCACTAAAAGCCCGCTGGCTGTTGGTCGCAATTGCCGTCCTGGCCGTTTGTGGGGGGCGTGTGCAACGCAAAAACGGCAATGGTCACTCAATGGAAAGAAAGCTTGCCCGCGGCCTCCTAGGCTTGTTTACTCGTTGATCGCAGCAACAGCAGCACCAGCCAGCACCTCCCTTGGTAGAGCAATGCCACTTTCGACAAGGCAGTGGACCGTGGTCGATTAGGTGTGTTTCCCCCGGGAAAGCGGGCGAGCTAATGGACTCTGGTGGTAAGGCGTCTTACGCAGCCCTGGCATCATTTCCACGTTTGTTTTCCTTCTCGTTCGTTCGCGGGGGCCCTGGCCTGACACGCCGCCGCCCCGTTGGCCCCCCCTCCCCTCTCTGACCCGGGAAGACGCATCGGTTCCTTCGGGGGCTTGATGGTACCAGCTAGTGCGGCGTACACGCACATCAGCGGCTATGAGGGTGGATGGCGTTGGGTTGGGGGAGGGGATATAGATACCTCGATGCGCCCCCCTCACTGGCATCAAGGCACCCGTTTTTGGTTCTTTTGTATTGTACTGCTCTTGTTCAGCTGTAGATCCAACACATCTACTTTTTTTTCTATTACACCAATTCTTCTTTGTGTGTTGGTGAACAAGAAGATCCCAATCTCACTCCCGAGCTTCCGTGCCGCAGGAAACTGGGGGCCGAATTTGCCGTGTTTCTTTCTTACGACAGCCGATGACGTTGGGCCCTGCCCGCGCCTCGAGGACATAAAACAAGCCAGCGAGTTCCGACGAAAAAGGGGCGCTTACCCTGCGAATTTTTCTTCTCGAAGAATAATTCTAGGTTTCTGGAGGATTTGAGTTCAGGAAAGGGAACGAAAAGAGTAGTCGAGACGGTCGGTGAAAATGCATCTGGGACGCCTCTTTACGACGATCGGCCTCGGCGCCGCACTGGTCCAAGCCACCCCGATCCAGGACCAGATCTCAAAGGCAACGGCTGCCACACCACGCTCCGCGTCTCTGGATCAGCCCGCCAAGCATTTCCACGAAGCCGAGTAAGTAACTACCGCCCGGTGGAAAAATTGACGCCCATAACTAACCCCCAATCACAGCTTCTCAGAGCACTACGACCCGCGCTTCGCCTCTGCGCCGCTCAACGAGACGGCCCAGCGCGCCGCCGTCAAGGTCTTGGTCCAGACCTACCTCTCCACCGTCCGCGACCTGGGCGTGCAGACCTGGCTCTCGCACAACGCGCTGCTGGGCTGGTGGTGGAACAAGCAGGTCCTGCCCTGGGACGCCCAGCCCACGGTGCAGCTGTCCGAGAACGGCATCCGCTTCCTGGCCGCCTACTACAACATGACCACCTGGTACTACAAGTACCCCGGCGTCCCCGGCGGCCGCGAGTTCCAGCTCGAGGTCAACCCCAACTTCGTCCACGGCGCCGTCGACGACGAGGCCACCAACACCATCGACGCCCGCTGGATCGACATGGAGAACGGCCTGTTCATCGACATCATGGCCGTGCGGTACGTCAAGGACCACCCCGAGGGCGAGAACGTGCTGGCGAGCAAGGACGGCCACGAGTTCAGGGATACGTACCTGTATCCCCTGCTCGAGACGACGTTTGAGGGCGTGAAGACGAAAATTCCGTATCAGTACAAGAGCATGCTGGTGGCCGAGTACGGGGAGGATGTTTTGATCAACAAGGAGATCAAGAAGTGAGTTTCAATTCTGGCGAGACCGGGTGAGCATATCGCTGACAACTTCCACAGCCACAAGTTCGTTGACAACGAAATGGAGTGGGTTCCGAATGAAGAGCTCTAAGGACCACGGCGGAGTATGATTCACGTGTTTTCGGAGAAGATATTTGGGCGTTCGGTTATTGTTGTCTCGATAAACAGTTCGCTACTTTCATGTACGGCGTTAGGAATACCCAGGAATCTGACCAGCAAAACAAGCACACACGCACATAGCGAGCGTATTTCCATCATCACGAATCTCTTCCGCTGTTCCTTCAATGTGCGCAGACAGTAGGGTCTCCTGCTTACAGCCTTCTCATCTGCTGCACAATCCGGTGCTTCTCTTTCCCTTAGTTGGTTTTGACCACCGGCTTCTTCAGTCGCCACTTCGTACTCTGGGAAACAAAAGCCATTTGCGTGAGCAGGGGGCATTTGGTTTCAACCGAGCAGGCGTGCGATGTGCCTCTGTACATCTTCTCGACTCGCTTCGCTAACACTGATATTTGAAGGTTTCGAAGTTTTACCGGAGGCCAAAGCGAGTGTTTGCAGAGAGCAGCGAAGTAGTCGCCAACACGAGAAGAAGTAGTGAAAATGACGGGCAACAAGGCGCCAGAGTTGCTACAGAGGTTGCAATATCTGGCTACAGCGGGATGTCGTCCACCGCAATTCAAACAAGCTTGTTGAGCTGTGCTGTATGTCTGTTGACTATGGTAAAGAGGGCCGTCGCTCAGCATGTCGACTAGGTTATCGAACACGTCGCTGGCTTGAACATGCAGATTCGCTAACATATTGATCAGTACATAATCCAAGACGGCCATTGCAGGGAGAAATGGAACTCAAGAGTTTTGTACCAGCAAATTGGTTTCCTACACGACTGAACTTCGGCCAGACCCGAAGGAATGACTGAGGAAGCCTAAATGCCGCGAGCTTTCGTAACTTTCTGTTGACAACCTGATCATCAAAGTCGAAGAGATGGGCCGCCTTCAACAGCTCGGCGATTTCGGGCAACGCAGTCTAGTATCGTCGCCGATGCCGTTGTAATCATTCTCACCGCCATTGTCTGTGTTCTTCTGGAAGTATTTGTCATGAAGCTCCAGGCGCCAGTCAGACACCCACTGTGCGATTGCATCGTTGAAACCGAACAAGTAGCTGAATCTGGCAGCAAGAACGAACGTAGCCAGATCGAGAGACTTGTACTTGTCGGTATTGTGACCATGGATGAGAGTCGTTTTTGTTGTCGTCTCTGCTGTACTTGCCGTGGTTGTTTCTGTCGTCCGTCGTCCTCTCACCTGTCAGGTTCTTCGCCCTCTCGCCTCTCTGGTTCTTCGTCCACTCACCCCTCTAGTTATGTTTACTGCCACCTCTGTTGTGATCGTCTCTACCGTCTCTGTGATCTGTCGTCCTTGTCGTCTGTGGTCTCTGTCGTCGTCTCTGTCGCCTTCCTTTTCATGGGATTAACACCCCCGCTGCCTTCCTTCCCGTGATCTATCTAATGCCCTTCCGTCTATATAAACCCACCCCTCTGGCCTAGCCGTGCCACAACCTTCCTACCTAAGTACACCCCACAAACAAACAAGATGGCCGACGAGTCGGATGCTCACCGTGACCCAGGTGCCAACATGCACGAGGAAACCACAGTTGACCTCCACAACCAGTGGGATGCCGTTCTGGTTGTCACCAAAGACAACACTATTCGCAAATTCCGGGTATGCTCGAACGTACTCAGCGCCGCATCGCCATACTTCGAAAGCCTCTTGGTCGTTCCTACTTTCTCAGAGGCTATTAAAGTCCAGAATGGCCAGCGCCCCGACATACACTTGGAGGAGAACCACTACCCAGATGCAATGGAGGTAATGCTAAGCATTCTTCACTACCGTATGCGGCGCCAGTGGGACATGGTGACTCCCGAAGAGCTCGCAACCATCGCCATATGCGCTGACCAGTATCGCTGCGTCGAGGCCCTCAAGGCCCAGATCGGACAGTGGCTCGTTGGGCAGCCGAAGTCCAACAAGGCTGACCCCGACGAGATCGGGTACTTGTTAGTAGCTCTACAACGATTCGAGCACCCAGAAGAGTTCTCGAGAACGTTGGTGGCTGCTGTCATGAACATCCCTTTCTCCTTCGACTTCGGGTCTTGGGCTGCTGATCCAATTATTTCTGAGTTGGACGAGGACCTGAGAGGTAAGCAACCGTCCCCCAAGCCAGATATTTACACATAACCCTAACAGCTCAAAAGCGCGCATCGAGAACAATATGGGAAAGGTCAAAGCGACACTTACCAAGTTCTTGTATTCAGCGATTACGGACCTCACCTTCAATGAGCAAGTGAGCATGATAAATCGATGCAACACATGCGCCACCGAGACTCGAACCAAACTACCAGGATCCTGCAACAGAGCCGATTGCCCATCGAAGACGCGATGTTACTCTGGTGAACGTGTCAAGGAATTCCTCAAGATGCTCCATAATAACTCTCTCTGGCCACCGCAAGAAGCGATAGAGAACTGCACCATCAGAAAGCTTGGTTCGCGCCTCCGAAACCTGCAGAAGACCGACGTTCACAGCTGCGATGCCGGCAGAGGGTGCGAA